CTAGAAAGTATCTACGGTGTATCTACGGAGTATCTACGGTCTATCTAGCAAGTATCTACGGTGGAGTATCTACGGTCTATCTAGCAAGTATCTACGGAGTATCTACGGTCTATCTAGCCAAGTATCTACGGTGTATCTACGGTCTATCTAGCAAGTATCTATGGAGTATCTACGGTCTATCTAGTAAGTATCTACGGTCTATCTAGCAAGTATCTACGGTCTATCTAGCAAGTATCTATGGAGTATCTACGGTCTATCTAGCAAGTATCTACGGTGTTTCTACAGAGTATCTACGGTCTATCTAGCAAGTATCTATGGAGTATCTACGGTCTATCTAGTAAGTATCTACGGTGTATCTACGGTCTATCTAGCAAGTATCTATGGAGTATCTACGGTCTATCTAGCAAGTATCTATGGAGTATCTACGGTCTATCTAGCAAGTATCTATGGAGTATCTACGGTCTATCTAGCAAGTATCTATGGAGTATCTACGGTCTATCTAGCAAGTATCTATGGAGTATCTACGGTCTATCTAGCAAGTATCTACGGTGTTTCTACAGAGTATCTACGGTCTATCTAGCAAGTATCTATGGAGTATCTACGGTCTATCTAGCAAGTGTCTATTGAGTATCTAAGGAGAATATGACCAGTCTGCTGCCTTGTCCATGAACCCCGTACTTTCCTTCCACTTAACCGTTTCTGCGAACAAAATCCCAAAATAAGGCCCCAAAGTCTACATTTCTTCACGTTCAGAATCTTCAAGCTGGGACTCCATCCAATTTAAATGAAATCGTTTGCTTCTTTCAAATGATCTATACTGAGAGACCACGCGTCTGCATGCACAGAGACCGGTAATTAATGCTGACCTTCAATCTTCACCGTCGGGGTTCTGTGGCAAGTAAATCAACTAGACACGATGTCGTCTGTAGTTCCCGTCTCCAGGCCGTTCATGGCGATGTGGGAACAATATACGCTAACTGAAAGTATGGTTTACCATGAATCACTCGTTAGCGTGCCATGTTCATCTTATAAAGTTAATTTCCCCAAATACAGACTACAGAATTTGTGATGTTCATCCTTCGTCGTGTTACCGCTGAAAAATGTCCCAGTAGTTGTTGTTTTACGCCGTACCCCAGCTATATGGCACAGACCCTCGTGTCTTTGCGAGGATTAAAGATATAAAAATGTTTTGAGATGACCCCCGACTCGTTATGCATCAGATACATCATGATGTAATGTACTGTGAAGCATTTCGAGTCGGGGGTCATCTCAAAACATTTTTTAAATCTTTAATCCTCGCAAAGAAACGAGGGCGGCGGTCTGTAAATAATCGAGTCTGGACCAGACAATCCAGTTATCAGCAGCATGAGCATCGATCTACACAATTGGGATACGATGACATGTGTCAACCAAGTCAGCGAGCCTGACCACCCGATCCTCTTACGACAAGTATTGGTTACTGAAGACAAATTCTAACCCGGATCTTCACGGGTGTCGCAGTAGTTGAAACAGAGCGATACAGCAGGGGCAGTGGAACACAATAAACCCTGTTCTACGGTGTTGTATCACGCGGCAGTCGAACACAATAAACCCTGTTCTACGGTGTTGTATCACGCGGCAGTCGAACACAATAAACCCTGTTCTACGGTGTTGTATCACGCGGCAGTGGAACACAATAAACCCTGTTCTACGGTGTTGTATCACGCGGCAGTCGGCAACACCCAAGCTGTCATGGTGAACTGTAAATACAAACACCGTTGAGTCGAAGATAAAGTGCCCTACGTAAACACTTCGAGTTATCCGAAGTTCGACACAACCGCAAAATTGTAACGAAAGAATAACTTCGAGACAAATGTACGTTCGACGTGTCAAATGAGACACAACGGCACTCGACTGTAATTGAGGCTGGACCAGACAACCAGGAATAACCGTGTAGTGGTATCAACAGAAACGTTTTACGCGAATAGTGTGAGTGGTGGGTGCAACTGGAACAAGACTTCCTGTTAATCCTTATCGTGAACACCCGGTGTCCTCGCTGATTTTCAGCTAAACATTCATATAATTTGCCTGTTTATTTTGCTGAATACAAGTTATTGACAACCTAGAACGTTCAGTCAGGGTGCTATGATTGCCATGTGGACAATTCGACCCGATGTCTGTGAACCAGTTTACGAGATGCCCGAACCTGGATCCTTCTTGCGGAGTTTCAGCTTTTTAGACCTTGTGGTATCAGAGGATATCTCAAACTTGCAAACATACTAGAAAATATGGTTTGAAAGTCAAGGAACGTAGCAGGATCAAAATAAGTCAAAAGGTGTCAAATTTCATAAAGATGCCTCTCCTACGCCGTTATTGGCTTAGTTACGGCCCAATATGACATTTTCAACAAATGAAAACTGTTTTCATCGGAATTCTACCAGCATTGTCTTCATAATACTGAATAGAATTATCCAAACAGCGCTTCAGCTCCGTAAATCTCGTAGTTACTTCAGAAATGTGACGAGGCGCCAAGTGAAGTGAAGTGAATTTGGGTTTAACGTCGTGCTTGAGAATATTTCGCTCATATGACGACGTGCATGCGTGTGTATATGTATGTGCGGCTGCTTGTACTAGCCCAGACTTAAGCTGGTTTTATAGTGCTAGCCCACTGAGATACCATGCCGCAGTGAAGCATGAATACCACTCAGACACATTATACTGACTCCGAGCCGACCAGTCTTTGTTGTACCCATAAATGCAGAGCGCCTGGCAGGGACCAATAAGTACCATATTTCAACGTCTTTTGGTATGACGCGGTCGGGGATCGAACCCGCGACCTTCCGCTCTCCGGGCGGACGCTCTAACCACTACACCACGGAGCGAGGCGCCAAGAGATTAGATGAATGTGCTGTGTCTGGTGAGCTTATAATGGAGAACTATGAACTTACACCCCAACTCCTATATTGCATTATGAGACTTTCAACGAATTTTATTTTATATTTGATTTTAAAAAGGACTCTACAACTCACACGATCATATGAACTGTTAATCACGTGGTATACGTGATTCACAAAAGCATGTCTGTTTGCAACTGTACCCGTGAAGGTCCGGGTTAGAATATTGATCTTCAGTAACCCATGCTTGTCGTAAGAGGAAACTAACGGGATCGGATGGTCTGGCTCGCTGACTTGGTTGACACGTCATCGTACCCAATTGCGTAGATCAATGCTCATGCTGTTGATCGCTGGATTGTCTGATCCAAATTATTATTAACAGGCCGCCACCATATAGCTGGAATATTGCTGAGTGCGGCGTAAAAACTAATCTCACTGTTTACTGCTTTAAAGATCACTGTATAGCGACCTTCAATCGTCGTGCGTGCGTGCGTGCGAGCGAGAGCGAGAGAGAGAGAGAGAGAGAGAGAGAGAGAGAGAGAGAGAGAGAGAGAGAGAGAGAGAGAGAGAGAGAGAGATCATAGTTCTAGTCCAGGCCGCAGTTTAACGAGGAATCCCATTCCGACGGGTTACTTCAAGCCTTAATCCAGAACATCAAATGCCATCTTTTAACGTTGACAGGGAAATCTCCGGGCCGACGCTGTATCCAGTAAACCACAGATGCGGTATTCTGCTGTTTGAAGGACGGGTACAGTGAGCAGGTACGACTAACATAAGTGAAGAGGGCTGATTTGTCCATCTTCAAAAGGTTCTGAGGAGGTCTTGGTGTTGAGCTAATTAAAATCGGATCATAGTTCTCCCTACAGGTCAGGTTTATCCTCAGATCTCTATTTAGGAACCGATGTTAATGAAATTCGGTAAATGGTGATATCAGGAATACAACCGGTCAAAGAACACAGCCTTCCTTAATCCTTCACTTCAAGACTTGGTTCGATTGTTGAAGGGAGGTAACTCTAATAGACATCGGAGTATAACTGTTTAGTTACGTATGTGACTGATCATGTCATGATACAATGAAGCCATAAATCGTTTGCATATACCGGAAGATGCGCACATAAAATATCTTACATTATTTAATGAGTTTAATATTCGATGGCTCTCCTGTGTCGACACAATGGTGTTAAGAATTACTTCCCCTTGATGACGTGGCGCGACTTCACAGTAAGTATGAAGCTATACGACTTGACCGAGTCACTGAGCGATCGTGGATGTACCTTGTGATCCACATAACCTTCAATGTAATTGTAGTGCTACGACTGGCGTTAGTCCGTGTCAAGTCAAAATCAAACTTGTGAGGATCCGCGGTTGAATTCTTTCTTAGTTATATCCTAAAATCTGACACCCGTGAAGAATTCGTCTTCAGCAACCCATGCTTATCGCAAGAGGTTGACACGCCATCGTATCCCAATTGCGTAGGTCGATGCTCATGATGTTGATCACTGGATTGTCTGGTTGGTTTGTTGTTTAACGCCGCACTCAGCAATATTCCAGCTATATGGCAGCGGTCTGTAAATAACAGAGTATGGACCAGACAATCCAGTGATCAACAGCATGAGCATCGATCTACGCAATTGGGATACGAGTGCATGTGTCTATCGCAGAACACCGTCGTGGCACAATGAAACTAGACAGACCACCCAACCACTTGGTTCCACCTGCCGGCCAGTGCCTACATGGCATCAGATCTGTCCTGTAAACTACCCGCCTACACACCATCGACACCCGGGAAACAACTAGATATATACATGATTACACAATGCCATTTAGCAAGTGTTTTTTTTCCTAATGGCATTGTGTAATCATAGCTTTCGGCCGTGGGAGCCGTGCCAATTAACACTTATCAGAGGGGTACACAAACCCGCAGTCTAGACTTCCAGTTGTCCGACTTCCATTTTGTGGAAGTCGCGGTGGCTGAGCGGGTTAGTGGGCTGACTTTGTGTGCTGGCGATTAGGTGCCTGACTCTGAGCATGTGAGTTCGAATCCCGGATGGGGCTCAACTCAATAACTACTAGAATTTGTACTTTACTAAGAAAGTGTAATCCCAAATATAACATATGTTAGATATATACAGTTGAGCACATTTTTATTATTTTATGTGACAGTGCAAATACTTTACATGATAGTTATCCCATTGTGAGACAGATGAAACAAGCATCTTGTGTACATTGAGCAAGTTGGGTCATGGTTTAAAATGCCCCTTTGAGTGAATGAGTTTAGTTTTACGCCGCTTTTAGCAATATTCCAGCAATATCACGGCGGGAAATGGGCTTCACACATTGTGCCCATGTGGCGAATCGAACCCGGGTCATCGGCGTGACGGGCGAACGCTTTAACCCCTAGGCTACCCCACCGCCCCTATAAACAGCATCCCAGTCATAGCACTGTGTGTCCGCTTATGTAGGGGGATATCCTGAACAAATGCAGATCTTAGTTATCACCACTTTGATGAAATCCAAGTCACGAGTCTGTTGCTGACAGACCAAGAAACATAATCTGAGCGAAGCGGGATTCGAACCCACGAGCATATGATTCTGACACGCCGAAGGGACATAACTCTTGTTTAAGAGTGCTGGGCCATCGAATCCCCAAGTTGTTCAGAAGCACCAGGGTTGATAAGGAACATCGTCACTACACAAACACTGCATCAAGTAATATGTGACAGTGGATCAGTCTCTAACAGCTCACCATCTTGATTATACTCTAACACAGTTGTCAGAACTATTTTCTTTTCATTTTTCGTTGAATATGCAGCATATCCCCTCGTCCGCTGTTTTAACAACCGATGTTTCGGTTTCCCGGGGCTCGAAGGAGCAAAGTCTAATTTTGTCGAGGTCTCCATTAAGGGAGAATCTGGGGAGACAATCAGGTCAGTCGCTGCCATCGTCTCTCGTGGCCGTTTCTTTCTACAGCATGCACATCGACACAATCCACACAAATTGTCGACTAACAAAAAATGTCTTCTTCTCAAAATGATTGCAGCGAAAAGTATTGCTAGTACGACAACGACGATGAGAATACTGGCAGCAATGGCGGCTGCATTGTTGGAATGTGAATGACTAGGAATTTCCCCCGTCGTAACAACCAGACAGTTTGTGGATAAAGTCGTGTCGTTGTGGTACGTCAAGAAACACGTTTCCACTATCCCACTTTCAACACATATAGTATAATCTGTGCTTGGTTCCAAACCGACGACGTGATGGGACTGTGACGTCAGTTCCTGTAGCAATGCGCATGCGTGATCTGTGCTGTTGTTCCAATACATGAGTGTGTAAGAGAAGCTATTTTCATTGGGATGGACAGTGTTTGTGTGAGGACTTTTGAAGCTGATGACGACCTCGGCACTGGAGGACGTGACGACGCCAGGAGTCACGTGGATCTGTGACTCGCATAGTGTCCCCGCCCACTTTCCGTGACACACACATTCGGCAGACACGTGGCTGTCGCCCTTGCCGTTGGAGAAGATGGTTCTGCAAGGGTTGTTGTTCTCACAGCGCACGTGTTCGCAGAATGTGCTTCCATTGGCTGGAAACAAAGAAAAGCACCAACATGAGTGAGTGAGTTTAGTTTTGACGGCATCACTGTTGTTCAGAAACCCTCATGGAATACAAGAATGTTTAACACATTTCAAAACCATTCCTTGATTTGTGATAATTCTGCGACGACATCTGGTCTTTCGTTACGAACAGTCTCTACCAGCACGTATTCTGATACGTAAGATGTTTCTATATGATTTTAAAGGAATTAAAGTATTTATTAGTTTCGAACTTTGTGAGATAGAGCTGCCTCAAGAGCAATGTTTCAGTCTGTGTCAACCCCAGATGTGTCGAATACCCCGGAACCGGCAAGTGTCATTCTACGTATGCCCTCCAATTCAGTTCTATTCATCAGTGAAATAGAGTAAGTTTAGTTTTGCGCCACTTTTTAGCAGTATTCCAGCAATGGCGGAGGGACACGCGGAACATCAATGATGTGATATGATGAGATTCAAAAGAATCGACCCAAATGAACGACGTTGAATTTGAATAAGGATGTGTACCGGATAACTACATTTACAAACATATACACGTCGCGCTGTAGGGAGTCTGTTTTAAATCGTGAAGGACTCATAAGTGAGTGAGTCTACTTTTACGCCGCTTTTAGCAATATTCCAGCAATATCACGCGGGGGACACCAGAATGGGCTTCACACATTGTACCCATGTGGGGAATCGGACCCGGGTCTTTGGCGTGACGAGCGAACGCTTTAACCACTTTGCTACCCCATCGCCCCGAAGGGCTCCCGAATACAATATAGGCTCATTTCGTCAATCTGAGATTTATCGTGACCTTCTATAGAGATATCCCCCAATGTTATAGCAGAAGCATCGTCTGGGAGTAAACGATCAATACTCCCTTGTATACTTACTCGCTAGTCCAATGAGGATGATGTTGAAGGTAGAGAGCACATGGAGATACACGGAATGGCGCATGGTTGCCATGGTGATGTGACGCCTCTACATGGTGATGCGGAGTCTGGAAAAGAAGAACCCGTGATGAACATGGAAATATCGCCATTAAATGTACATAAGAGCAGATAAGTAGCTTTTGTTGTTAGGCTGGTTAACGTGAGTGAGTTTAGTTTTACGCCGCACTCAGCAATATTCCACCTATATGGCGGCGGTCTGTAAATAATCCAATCTGGACCAGACAATCCAGTGATTGACGTCATGAGCATCGACTGTCGCAGTTGGGACACGATGATATGAGCCAACCAAGTCAGCGAGCCTGACCACCCGATCGCCAATAAGTCGCCTCTTGTCACCACAAGCATGGGTTGCTGAAGACCAATTCTAACCCGGATTTTCAAATGAATATGGGCTTGAGGATGTTTAGGACATGGGCAAGAGGGGTGTGGGGGAGGGTGACTCGAAACGCATAAACATGTAAACACCTCGCACTGCTACGCCATGGGATATATACACATAAATACGCTTAAGAACATCCATTGTTTACTCGATAATAGTGTGGACATTTGTAAACAAGTCTCCCGCCGAGATGTTGCTGGAATATTTGCTAAAAGCGGCGTAAAACCAAACTCACTTACTAACAATCGCAGGGACGCGAAACACGCCTTGGACGGCTGGGCCACCCACGGCCCCTGAATTATTCAGAAGCAAACATACCCAAATCATCGCCAAGATAGGAGGCTTTTATGGGCAGATTACACTACAGCTAAACCCATTACTGCGTGACACAGAATCCAGAACATTGACCTCCAGGTTCAGCGTATTAGCATACGGCTAAACTCTACTTCTTGCCAGACATATATTGTACACACATACATATACTGTATACACAATTATAGCACTTAACGCACGTCTACAGGCCACCTGGGGCACAATGGGGTATTGTTCGATGTATAGACCTCTAATACACAGGTAGGTATCGTAAATTATCCCGGCACAATAACATGAACAAAGACAGGTAAATCGTAGTGGCTGGTTTATCGGGTTAGGCCAAAAAATGTATTTGTTTCCTATCATTGCCCGGGCTCTTAGAATTTCCCAATATTTTACTATTTCTTTATTTTTGGCCAAAATTTACATTTGATTACATGCTGTGTAGAATGCATACAGCATATTTATAAACTTGAGTCCTTGATAATACGGAGGACTTGACAATACGGAGCCTTGAAAATACGGAGTCCTTGACAATACGGGGCCTTGACAATACGGAGGACTTGACAATACGGAGTCCTTGACAATACGGAGGACTTGACAATACGGAGTCCTTGACAATACGGAGTCCTTGACAATACGGAGGACTTACGACGTAATTTCCTTAGGACTGTTTTACTTTTGAGCAGAGATGGATTTTGCATTCACATTCCGTTTTTGTGACCATTTAAATGAGTGAGTGAGTGAGTATGATTTTTCACATACTGTACCCATGTGGGGGGTCTTCGGCGTGAAGAGACAACGCAATACCCACTAGGTTACCCCACCGCCCCCAATTAAAACATAAGATCACTTTTATTAGGATAATAGATATAGGTATCGAGCATTTGCTTGTACGTAACTGTTCGTACGCTGGGGAATATGGTGAAAGTTATATCCATCCTAAATATACATAATCGACCTCTTTGCGATAATCCGGGGTTTCCGCACTGCAAAGGTTCCACTATATAGAGTAAACTGCTGTGTAACAGTGATTCTTCAATCCGGACACTGCCCTGTAAAAATACTTCGTTAATTCGGGCGACTGCGTTGGTACTGTCCGGATTAACGGGATTCACAGAGAAGATTAATCAGACCGTCAGCTCAAATTACAACGAGGACAGTTTAATCTCCCACGGATCAGATGATGCAATCAAACCATTAAAACATGCGTTGGCATTAATCTAGAACGAACGAGGCGAGGGAGTTGGGGAGGGGGTTAAAAATATCCTATTAGCTTCCGACAGCTCTAAGCCAACATTCGTCTACAGGGGTAAATATAAACGGCAGAGCATGTTCTCCGATCACGCAACCTCCTGGCTTGTAATGTGATGACGTGTTGACAGGCGACACTGTCATGCATTGTCAACTCTGAAAGCGTGGACCGACACTGCCCTAGGCAGTATCTTAGAGATCTTCCCGATAACATACGTGACCTTATTACTGAAAAGTCAATCATCTACGACACTGAACAAAAATACACACGTTGCTGTTGGGCGTTGTCCTTGTTTTATTATTAATGGAGTTTTGCACGGCACGCCGTCATCATCAATAATACAAAATTATACATAATGATTCAATATAATGTATACATCGACCTCGTTAATTCGGACATAATGAGACACCGTCCGCAGTGCCTAGTTTCCGGATAATCATGTTATACGCTTATTATTGCACGACAGGCTGTCATCATCAATAATACAAAATTATACATAATGATTCAATATAATGTATACATCGACCTCGTTAATTCGGACATAATGAGACACCGTCCGCAATGCCTAGTTTCCGGATAATCATGTTATACGTTTATTATTGCACGGCACGCTGCCATCATCAATATTACAAAATTATACATAATGATTCAATGTGATGTATACATCGACCTTGTTAATCCGAACATAATGAGACATCGCCCGTATTGACAAGTTTCCGGTTAATTATGTTGTACGTTTATTATAAACAAGAGCGTTATGACTGCGGTTTCTGACCAAGATGGTCCGGGCAGACGAAGTTTCACTATAAAAATGTAGCCTTTCTCAAACTAGCGGACAGATCTGCTGGGAATCTGTGAACTGCAAACATCCATTCCCTTAGGGTGCCATCACGATCACATGTTCACACTGTCAGAGTCAAGTCTCTCTTGACACGTGACTTACATCGGTCACATACAGCAGGGTAGCTGAGAATTTCAAGGTACCGTTATACAACAACCGAAAATATGCTCGCATAAGCTGCGCAGGTTCTGACGTGTGAATGTCATTTTAGACTGCACATCACAACACATAATCAACAGCGAACGATACTTTAAATGTGTGGGGTTTTCCTATTCCATATTCCATCCAAATCACAAGGGACACCCCGAGCGTGATTCACACACTGCACCATATCAGGATTCAAACCGAGGAAGAATATAGATTAATAATGACGAGCATCAAATAATAAGCATCATTTGCTTGATAACGGTGTTAGGATCTTTACACGTCGCATCTATCGCAATGAAAGAAGTTCTCTACACATAAAAAGTGTTCCTCGTCATTATACCAGAATCTAAATGCCACTTAAAGACATCAAATAATAACTTTAGAGAAACAGAAATCCAGAATAACAAACCAGGGGCGGAAATAACTTTAAAATTGCTAGTGTACACCGGTACAGTGGCACATGTAAATTCAATTGCCCTGATAATTTTTCCACTATACTGGCCGTTTTCTTGTTGATTTTTTAAATAAACAATATAATAAACATTGGAAAGTCAACTGGACACCGGTACAGTGTGATATACAAATTTGCTTGCCCGACAGAAAAAAACACTGGACTCGGACGACGGGCAATGGGTTATTTCCACCCCTGCAAACGCATGCATCTAAGCCTTCAGTGTCCCCAGACTCACCTGCTACAGAGTATCCCAAGATAACACATCACTCCCTTTACGTTCCATGAAGATAGAAGTACTTATCTTGTAACAGTGTGCACCTCAAAGACCCTGCTAATTACCGCCAGTCAATAAATCTACCTCGTAACGTCCCTACATAATGCCACCATTTCCTTCCATTTACAGCCTATCATGCCCGCCTCCTTCGCCCGTCAATAGAAGTTCAGCTGACATAGATGTTGGTAGACAATACCGAACATATTTTCCCACGGTGCGTCGTGCCGGTCCACTGCCTATTCAACCGAATCGATAATGTAAACATCATCAAATATTCATCCGACGGCGAGGTGGCTGCGTCCTGATTAACGGGTGTCCGTTGTGAGAGACTATTGTTTATGTATCTAAGGCAGCGGTGTCGTGCTGTGCTGGTGTTTGGACTCATGTTACCAAGACTCCATTGTCTCACAGTAACAAAGAGAGACTATAGTTGGCACTATTAATAGCTGAAGAACTTTGTACGGATATGACGTAAACAAAACTACGCTTGGAAAACTGCTTATTAATTCATTTGAACACTTGTGTATTAACTTCAACACTTTATTTACTTTGAATACTTCATTTATTTATTCATTTATTTATTTATTCGAATACTTTATTCTTTCAAATACTTTATTCATTCATTTATTCGAAGAATTTATTTATTTATTTATTTATTCAAACACTTTATTCATCCATCCATCCATTCTTTCTTCTTTCTCTTTCTTTCTCATTTCATTTCTTTTATGTATCCCAAATTTGGCATCGTAGGTCTTTATCATCTCTCAAATTTTGGCCGGATGGATATATTTTTAACCGCATATTGTCGTTCTGTATTCAAGGGTTTCACACGCAAATAAACATATGACTACAACTACAAGCGTTTAAAGTTTTGGTTCCATTTTCACTAATCAACCATGGTAAATAAATGAAACAAGCACATATGAGCAATTAAACATGGATCCAAGCAGGGGCGGTGGGGTAGCCTAGTGGTTAAAGCGTTCGCTCGTCACGCCGTAAACCCGGGTTCGATTCCTCACATGGGTACAATGTGTGAAGCCCATTTCTGGTGACCCCGCTGTGATATTGCTGGAATATTGCTACAAGCGGCGTAAAACTAAACTCACTCGCTCACTTGTGACGAGCGGAACGTTAACTCACCGTTTGGCCCATGGCCATCTACCAGCCCTCACATTACATGTGGACAAAACAATAAGTGAGTCGGGGTTAAAGCTAGTCCAGGATTCGAACCGGCTACCATAAAGGACTCAACTCAAAATTACCAAAGTGTTCAAGTGATCATAGTACTAATGCAATAAGTGAATGAGTGAGCTTATTAATTCTACGTTTAGTAAACTTCCAGCCATATCACGGCGGGAGGCACAAGATAATAATGTGTAGGATTA